CCCACGACTACCCTGCAAAATAACAAACAAAGGATTTACCTGTGCATACTAATAAGTAAATATGTAGGACTAATAAAACTATTCTTAACTACCAATAATGGTGCATACCCCCTATATTGGTGTGCAATAAGAGCTTGTGTAAGCCAAATGATCCATGTTCTTAACTGGTTCAATTTCCCAGCAGACACCTAGATGATGGAAAAGAAAATCATGCATTAATTAGATGAGAAGAAAAAACAATAAGGAGCTGAGATGGGGAATTAGGGTAGGCTAAATAAATAGCAAATAGACAAAGCATAAAAATCTCACTGTTCATCGCATATCATTGTCTTTAACAACCAACTCAAACTGCTACGTTTCAGACTCCTTGTTCTCAATCACATATCTCATTATCTTCCAAAACCAAATCAAAGAAATAAAAAAATATTTTTACAAAATAAAAACTATTAAAATAGAATAAGCAATAGAGAAGGCCATACCTTTAGTTTTTTTGAGTGAGAGGATAATTGGATATTAAGCGATTGAGGGGAGGAGGTCGTCAATGTGTCACCTCGCTGCCATACATATGTAACTGGGTTAAGATGCATGCCCCATTTCATCTAATAGATTAATCCATGAAAGATAAATAACTACCAATACGAGTTGTAACTATAGTTAAGCAGTCCAAGCAAAATCTAATTACAAAGTATTGTCTGAACTGATGATCTATATGAGTTCATGCAACAAAAGGGTTAATTAGAGTACAAAAAAGCTAAACCAATTCAAGTACAAAAAATGTGCACATTATTCATTAATTCCAAAACCAATTTTCGTTAGACATTTTATCAAACAAACTTTGTGCAGCGACGCAGCTGCTATGAAATGGATGTGATTAAGGAAATATGTAACCAAACACCATCCGACACCTTTTTCAAAATCACCACCACCACCTAGAAACACCTCTAACCAACAAAAATAAATCAAACCTAGCATTACAAAGAACAAAGTCATCAAATCGAAACCCAAGTGTTGAAACAAAAAAAGACTGAATGCATTTCAACCCAAAATCACAACTTCTACTTTTGCTACAACAGTGCCATGTAAATGTCTGTAAATTAAGGATCAAGAACCACCAAACTATCATGAGAAAAGGGAAAAATTGTAAATGAATATAAATTTAGAATACTATATACATGAATGAAAAAGATATTTTATTATAAGTTGTATAGTGATTTTTTTTTCCATTGAAGCAAAACAAAAAACACTTTGTGATCAATACCAATTGCAAAGATTATGCAACAATGATTATTGCACAAAAACACACGCACACACATAGAACACCAACAGTAAGATAGATAGAGAGAGAGAGAGAGGGAGAACACACATACAACACAAACATAAACACACACACAGACACATAACACAAACAGAGAGAGAGAGAACAGACAGACACAACACGTGAAAATCCTCCAATCATAAAAGATTTTCACACAAAAAATGCACAACATTTTGGAGGAAAAACAAAACACAACGCAAATCACAAAAAAATTTGAAAAATGAGTAAATGAAAAGTAAGTAATTGATATATGTGTGCACCAAAGAAGTCCAACCTCCTGAGCCAATTTGTTTGATTCCCTTGAACACACCCAGTAGTAACAAATTCCTTCCTCCTATAAAAAAATACAATTTTTTTTTTCATTCAAGCAATTCTACAAACATTTGGAAGACAAAACCATAAGAAAATCTAGATAAATATACTTTGAATTGATCAGATGAACAAACTGCCTTCAGGTAGTGCATTTGTGTGCGTGGTCGTGTGCGTGATCGTGTGTGTGATAGTAACAGAAAGAGGTTGTGTGCATCTATGTGTGTGTGTGTGTGATAGTAGCAAAAAGAGATGGAAAGATGGAAGACATACCTTGGTGGAGGAATGAAGAGAGAGAATAGGGAGGGAGGGAGGGAGAGAGACAGTAATGGGATGCATAGAGCTTAGAGAGAATAGGTAGGGGAGAGGGTTGTTGTTTACATAGCATGGAGGGAGAGAGAGGAAGATTTGTGGGTAAGATATTATGGCATGAATTGGGGGATTGCGTTTGATATGAATAGACATCGCCTATAGAGGAGAGAGAGATGTGAGTCAGGAAATGTTGTTAGGTGGGAAAACAAAATTTAGTAATCACTGTAGATCGTTGGATTAAAATTTTTGAGATGATCTAAACCATCTTTTATGTTGGGATTATGTTGTTTGTTGGATATGTTTATGTTTTGTCGCAAAACGATCTAGATCTCTCTTTGTCTCCAAAATTCAAACTCAACTTTATTTTATTATATAGATCACACTATTTTTATCTATTTTTCTTAAAGTGTGTCAATCCTAAATCATATTTTTGGCTCTGCCACTATTTTCAAGGATCTTCACTCTTCATTTTTTCAAATTAATTGGTTAATTTATGTTGCACCGTGTCTTTAGGCACGGGTTACCCATACTATTACAATATTACAATAACGAAATTGAATTTTTAATTTATATATTTTAATTAAATTAAATTATTTTTTTTAATAATACAAAATTCATCTAAAAAAAAAATTTTCCGTTTAAAAATATCATTTTCACTTTGGATGATTCCCAATATTATACAACTCAAACAATATAATTCTCAATGTCAAACAACTCCATTAATTTACACCTACTTCTCTCTCGTATTTTTCTCTTATTTATTTTATGTTTACTTTAGTTGTAAGTTCTATTTAATATTCTAGTTAATAAATTGAATTCTCAACTTATAAAAACACAATAACGGTTAAGATTAATCTAATTCTCCCCTAAAAAACATAATTTTCACTATATGGCTCCCAAAAATTGATAACTCAAACAATACAATCCTCAATGCAAAAAAAAATCCCCTAATTCAGACCTACTTTTCTTTTTTCTCTCTCTCTCTCTCTATTTTTTTTTTTCATATTTTCTCTCTGTTCACTTTAGTTTCAATTTAAATAATAAAAAAATTAGTTTTAAAATATAAATGTTACACAATTAATAATCAATTTTTTGTATTGCAGAGTGTCTTCAAATACGAGTTATTATGAGTACTTTCATTTGGGAAGTGTTACAGTTTTTGTATCGAATTTTTACTATTTAACTGATAAAAATATGTCACGTGTGATATTTTATTTTATTATTTTTAATCAATAATCATAATTATTTAATTTAAAATTAAGGGCCCAATTTTTTTTTTGCCCCACACATGTATAATTATAAGGGTTTGATTATGGTACCCAAAAATTTTTGATATCATACCACTAATTAGTTTTTTGAGTGTTTATATTATGATAAATACTATTTGGATCTAAAAATTTGACTTAATGATGTGATTTCAGTAAAATTATTAGATCAATACCAAATTTCAATGCTTGATAGGGTCCACAGTCAATTCTGGAGTTATAATGAATTAGGTTTCAAAACCGTTGCTCTTATATTATTACTTAGGTGGAGCTTACTAACTTTTAGAATGCACTCATTTTTTGAGTTTATTTACCATTATTTGAGCTCACTTTATCACTTTTGTAATAGAGATTTTGTTTTTTTGTTACAAGATGTCCAAGTTTAGGTCGACTATTCCCTTGAACTCTGAGCTGAACACTATAATTCAAACTAGTTTAAAGACATGTCCTATGGGAAACAAGGATAACTCCAAAAAGTTAGCTAAAATCTCATTTTTAGCTATTTTAGATAGTTTCTCTTTAAAATGTGGCTGCAACAGGCTAACTATTTCCTTATCTATTTTTCATAACCCCATTTTCATTAGCTAAATTTAGCTAGCCACTTCTCCCTAGCTACTTCAGAAGTTCTTGGTCTAGTGTTTGAATGAGGCGATCGATGGAGAGACGATGCATCTAGTTTGATCAAGCTCGAAGCCTTCAGAAGTTATCGATCAAACTTGAAAGTTTTGAGGTGATTTTGTTTTGAATTTTGTGATTTAACTTGATAGAATTTGGTTTGGGAGTAATAATTTTCGGGAGATGAGTTCTCTTTTGTAGCCTATAATTGATTAAATTTATACAATATATAGTTGAATTGCTATTTTTTGAATTTTATTATAGAAATTTAGGTAAAGTAAGTTGAAGTAGTTAGATAAAATAGATAGCGTTATTAGAGTGAATTTAAAAAAGTGATTAGCTAAAGTAGATAATATAATATTTAAATATATTTTGAGTAGCTATTTTAGATAACATTGTTGGAGATGCTCTTAGGTGGTGTGAAAAATATCAAACCTAACCTTTTATTTGAATTATTTGAAAGATGACAGACTTGACTACTGAACCACCCCTAAGATTCTTTTATAGTAAAATTTATCATTTTTCGGAGAAAATTTATTACGTTTTCAAGTTTTTTTTCTACTTTTCAATGTGATATGAAAAAAATAAATTTTTAGTACCGTAGTGTTTCCCTTGTTACACCATATAATTTTTTAAATGCCAAATTTGTAACTTACCCAAAAAAATGCAACATTGGTTTTGATAGAGCGCCTGAGATTTCCCAATAATGCAGACTTAAGCTGCACTCATGTCCATATTTGTCTCACTATGATCCCCCCTCCCTCCCACCCAAGTTACTCTATCAATATATCCTCCAAAATCACCCTGGCCCAAGGGGATTTCAAATGGATAGAAGTAGAAGACATTTTTCAGATTGTTGACGGTAAGATTTAACTCTTAAACCCATAATATTTTTGAACAATAACTATCCTGGTAGCACCATTTTTTTTGTTCAATAATTAAAAATGTTCAAATCAACTTACATACACCTCAACTAATTCTATTCTCAATCCGGTAAAAGACAAGTTATCCACGGCAGGACTAAGGTATCTCAAGTGATAAATCTCTCATGACTTGACCCAAAAAGATTGTCAAGTCGTCCTGTTACCATTTGATCGTGCCATTTAAACTCATGATGTTCTTCCTTACAATGTTACTATGTTAGGTTGATACAACAACAACTTTGACGAGTAGTAAATATGTTGTGTTACTACTGAGCAGAGAAGGTCGGAAATCATTCCAAAGTCACAAGTCACACCATTGAAGGACATGTATCTTAACGACAAGAAAAGAATTCATAAGAACTGCTTAAAAGGATACCTGAGCTCTGTGAAATTTCAATTGAAGAAAGGATAATACCAAGTGACATCAATTAAAAGATTAATCACAAACGAATCCATTTTCAAGGTACATCTAAGTCGTAGAAGAATATTAATTACCAGAAGAAATGCAAGTAGCCCTTGACCCTTTAGAAAAGGATAGTAATGTTTTATCTCCGCGACCTTTGCTTCGCTTTTGAGTCAAAATGGTGCCTCTTCAGCTTCTTCTTGCGCATAACAGTTGTCGAACCACCACCACCCTCTCGGAATGGCATTCCCATGAGAGCTAGAAGTTTATGGGCTTCTTTATCTGTTTCAGCTGTTGTTGTTATGCAAACATCCATTCCTCTAGGCTTACCAAGAGCATCGAAAGAGATCTCTGGGAAAACACTCTGTTCCCGGAATCCAATGCTATAATTACCGTGCCCATCAAAGCTATTGGGACTGACACCTTGGAAGTCCCTTGTTCTAGGAAGCCCTAAATTGATGAGACGGTCTAGAAATGAGTACATCACCTGGCATAAATTATTGAACCATGAGCACAAAAAATATGGACGACCTGATGACCATTCTCAGTGAAAGGTCGTAAAAGCTAGTTTAGGAGCACAGTGCTAGGGACAACTTAGAGACAATACATAAAACAAATAACAGTTGCTGCAAGAATAAAGCACTGACGCCATGTGGTGGAACAGAAAGACGTGTGTTAGAATGTCTCTAGAATTTGAATGATAGATTGCTGTTCAAATCATATGGATTTGAATGATGAACTTGAGCCAAATTCAATTTAGCTGGGTTACTCAGACAGGAGAAAGACAACACTCCTTCAGCCTGTATTTCCCCCTTAATTTCTCTCTCCTTTCCCTCTGCTCTTTCTCTCCCACTAAAACACTGCACGTTTGAGGAGTCAATTGAGAGTCTGAGACACTTAGCTCAGGAGGCATATTACGGCCCAAAGTCCAGGGGGCACCTGGATTTTAACCCTGTTTTAAAATGTTCAACTCAAAGTTTAGCCTGCGTTCCAAATGCTAAATTAGAAATGCTACTTGTTTTTTAACGTATCAAATTTTATCATAGGTTAGGTGTCCCTGCCATCATTCCTCCAAGTTTCTACGCAGCATAAGATTTCAAAGCAAACTAAGAAGCCTCTCCACTTCAACATTGTCACCATTCCCTCTTGAAAAGTTGAAATGCCAACATACATATAATTAGCAGAGTTTACCTCAGAGGCTCATAAGTGCTAAAAACAGTCTCCATTCCAAGGATCCAGCTTGCGCTAGAAACTGAAAGCCAAAATACATCAATCCTGCCATGCCTAAACTCTTTAAGTCTTAATTAGTGTCTAGTGATCATTCCACCCATCGAGTAATCGAATACTTTTTTACTGTTATTGGTGATTTTTTTGGGATAAAATAAGGTGAAAGGGTAGCAGTAGCTTTTAGCTGGAAGTTGTGGTCTCCTGCCTTCCACCACTAATGGAAAGGACAGGGTAGGAATCTCATCGGGATATGGGGATGTGTGTATCACTTTCAGGGGGGGGGGGCATGTTACTGTAGGCCGTAAGAGAACAATTTATTGAGAAGAGTGAAAAATAAGGCAAATAAATGTCAGCATTGAACTATATTTTTTCATTTCGGTCAATAGGATATTTAAGAGAAGGTTCAATGGCACATAGTCTGCATATACCTGCACATTTTTATTAGATTTGATAAAACATTTATCAACTGTTTTCTGCTAAATCATTAGAAGAAACACATACTGAAAATTCAACAATGAAAGCAGTGCATGCAATGCAAACAACAGTGCAACCCTTAATCTTGAGTCACGATGTAATGTAAGCAAACTCAAGAACTTCTCAAAACATGCATGCATAATTGATGTGGAAAACAACAGACTTACATTTCCTCTAAGAGTGACGGCAATCCCAAGCGGCTGATCTTCCCGAATCTTAAAGGTGGCAATGGCATTCTTCGCTCGTGTTTTTACAGGCCTCTGTCCTGTTATAAGTGCCATATCATTCAATGCTGCTTCCAAACCCTTGGAATTCTGTGCAGCATCTCCAATGCCGCAGTTCACCACAATCTTCTCAACCTTAGGAACCTAACCAAACCAATTCCACATGGCAACATCATTGGCGTAACCAACCGCACAGAATGGATACATCAAACATCTGACAAATAATGAAGGACAGAAACTGTAATGGGGAGATATTTATTTCCCTCTAAGGGCTCTGATGGTTGTAGATGGATAATGTATTTAGTGTGTGGTGTGTTCACATATACAACAAGGGAGAGGGAAACAAATACGCACTCTCTCTCTGTCTCTCTCACACACACACACACCCCTCCCCCCCACACCCCAGATAGGAGGCCATTCAGATTTCAGACTCAACTGAGCACGGCTTTTCATTATCAGACCTCAGATATACATCAAGGAAGAGGGAAACAAGCACACACATACACCCCCCCCCCCCCCCCCCCCAAAAAAAAAAAAAAACAAAAAAAAACAGATAGGAGGCCATTCAGACTCAACTGAGCACGGCTTTTCATTTATTTTAGCTGTTATCCAATAATCCCAATTTCTTCACTTTTCCTGCATTGTTTCACATAACCAAATTGAGCAAGAATCAAACACTTACACTTTCATCTACACCAAATAGAAAAATAGTGATTTAAATTTCTCCTTTTTCTTATTTTTTCTCAGCAACCAACCAAAATCAAAACTTTCGAAGAAATTTTGGGCAGCTACCTGGTGAATATTGCTGTAACTGAATTCTTCTTTCAACAAAGGGACAATCTTTTCAAGATAGGTGGTCTTGAGCCGATTGGCTTTCTCTGCCTCGCCTGTCTCCACCAGAACTATCCCAGAAGTGGCCTTCACCGATAGGCCACCGACACAATTTCTAGGGTTTACGACCGGTAAACGGGCGGAATGTACCGGGAACTGACTGAGGAACGAAGAGGCGGTGGACTGTAATAGCGCCGGAAAAGCCATTGACGGAGGTGGTGGGTCTGTGCTGGCTATAGAGGTTTGTGCGGAGGTTATTCAGGGGAAAGGATTAGATGGCCTATGTGGGGAAATGGGGCTCCAGCTTGCGTGAAATTCCCGAATGTGCCACTCAATGATGGTGGAGATAGTGGTATGACGTAAATATTTCAAAAATTAGGGGTAATATTTTAGTTTTAATTCCTTCTGTGAATGCCGGAGAGGATAACGAAGTTCTTCGGGATAAAATGGTAAGCTCACGCGCACTTGACTAATATTTAAGTGTTTTATTTCGAAATATTTGACATATTTTGACTAATATTTAAAGGTGTTTTTATAATATTTTGGCCAATATTTCATAATTTTTAAGAAATAAAATTTCTAATTTTTTAATTTGTTTACATTTTATTTTTAAAATATTTCCGTTTTTTTAGTGAATGATACAATGCACTTTAATAAAATTTTGACTCTTTATTTAATTAAAATTTAATTTTTACTAAATTCATTTTTATCGTATACTAATTCAATTCATTTATGTTTCGCACCTTATATGTGTTATGTTTAGTTAAGTTTGTTATATCATGTCTTGTTTAGTTGATAAACAAGTTTGTTAGGCTTACCTACTTATTTCAAATTCATTAAAACCAAATTCAAAACTCGTTAATTTTATATCAAGTTTAATTTTATATAAATTTCGTACTTCTTCTACTGCCAAGAAAAGAAAAATAAAGGGCTCCAGTGATATTAACAGAACCTGTAGGGTAGTTTTTGATATTTTCCCCTGAAATTCTTTGGAAAGCACCGGATTGAATTGGGTCAGCTGTCCCCGTTAGAGTTTCAGGCTTTTTTTTGCATCTGATTGTAACTAAGTTTTTTCTCCTCGAATGAAGTTCGCTATATTTCAGACCAAAACGAAAAAAAAATTGATATCTCTAGTTTTCTAAGCAAGTCGCTTACCACGTGCCTCGATAACAACGGTACAACGGTCTTATTAGACAGTGTTCCACACGATCCAAAAGGCGCGTTAAATAGCCTAAAATTTCTATATAGTTTTTTTTCAGCTGTGTAATGGTTGCCAACGTCATATCTCGGCAGGCTCTCTCTCTCTCTCTCTCTCCAAAAACTCTGTTCATCTTTCTCTCTCTTTCCCCACAAACCATTGGTCGTGAAAGAGTGCAGGAAGGCAAAGATCCAAACCCTAATTCTCTCTCTACTCCTCCGATCCAGGTAGTTCCTGTACAGTTTGCACCAAAGCCCTAGTTTCGGACTTGGTTATATTAATATCATTGGACCTTTTTTTTGAAGCTTATAACATTCGAAATTAGAGAAGTAGACTGATATTTTGAGGATATGTGTAATGGATGATTTCAAGATTTGAGTAAACTTATTGAATTTCATAGAATACGGTTGTTGCTAGTGGATAATATTTGGCCAAATTGGGCAAGAAAGTTGGCCTTCTATTGTATATCCCTGTATGCTCTGCGTTTATTGTAGGTTGAGCTTGGATCGTAGCACCATATAGCTGAGTTAGCTTCATCTGATTCGTATTAGATCAGGTTTAACAGTATATGAATATACACATCAGTAGATGATGGAATGTAGCGGTGGGAACTTATATCTTATTCTTTGAAATTGCTGTATGAGGATTTGGATTGCTTTAATTGAATCATTTTATCGGTGACTTTACTGGCTATGTGAAGTGGGTAGGATTAGAAGCGGTTAGTGATAGGATTTCTCGAGGTGGAGTGTTTTTGGTAATATGAGTAGTGATTTTTTGGTGTTGCTTTGTGTGTGGAGTTGAATTGGGATAGTTGAATTAGGTTGGTGAGTAGAGGTTTTTCTGGTTGGGAGAGTAGTGGATTGGCAAACTCTTGGGGAGAATAATATTACCAAGCATTGCAGAATGAGCTTACAAGATGAAGATCAAAGCTTACTTGCGAAAGCTCCTGAAACATTTCACGAATCTCCGAAGTAACTAATTTGGCTTCCATATTATATTTTCTTTCAATTTCATTTATTTGATTTGATTCTTCTTTTATCTCTTGTGACATATTTTTTTTTTCTTTTGATGGAGCAGGCATTCAAAACTCTCGTATACCAGAGAGTTTCTTTTATCCATAAGTAAATTGGATGCTTGCCAGAAGTTGCCAAGTGGATTTGACCAATCAATTCTAAGGTGTGCGGCCTCTCCACTTCCTATGGAGAATTACATGTCTTTGTACCGACGTTCCTTTGTATTTTGTGGTTTGTATCATTCGTGTATCATGATATATCTATCACTATTTTCCCCTGTTTAAATCAGTGAATTTGAGGATACCTCACATAGCACACAAGATCGGCAAAGAATTTCTGGCAATTTTCTATTCCAAGGTTTCAGACGTAGTGATTATGGCTCGTCCCCACCAACCAGAGGGGATTCATGGAATAATTCCCGAGGAATTTATGGGAGATGGGATAGTCGTTCTTCTGGGCGGAGTGATATGGACAGTGACTCGCAATCTGACTTGGATTCAGGTTTGGGTTGCAATTCTTTTTTCCTGCTATTGATGTATGCATTGTTCGGCTTACTTTTTAGTTTTTCAAATTTTAGTGACATATGTATATGTGCTTATCATTCATTTTTTACTGTGAGCAAATATCTTTGGAGTGTTGGCTTGTTGCTTGTTTATATTGACTGTTTATAAGAGCTCTAAGGAATGCCTGAGTAATAGGCTCTCTCAGTCATGTGTCCATCATGTTGGTGTTCAACTTCTACAATGGCTCAGCTCCTTTTTAGAGATGTTTGTGCTTTTTAGCTGGCGGCTTAGTGCTCCACAATGATGCATTACCTATATTTGCCCACAAATGCTTACCTGTGGTATCCATGTAAATGCTTCTTTTGCGATATTGTCATGAATTTTTAACCTGGGTTTCACTTAGATATGATGAGATAATGGTTTTGTCCAAGGCAGTTCATTATTAAACAAGTTGATTATTGGCCTTTCAGTCTGGTAAATTAATTGCGTTTTCATGCAGATTCTGGAAAATGTTATGGTGACCAATCTCGGCCATCTTTGCAAAGTACTGAGCATGATGGGCTTCTTGGGAGTGGTTCATTTCCAAGAACATGTGGATATGCAGCAGGGATGTCTACTCCAAAGGTTCAGGCAAATGATCACTACCAGCTTAACAGGAGCAATGAGCCATATCATCCTCCACGCCCTTATAAGGTTACCTTTTACTTGTTTAGTTATGGTGACCTTATTATAACATTAATTTATTGAAAAAAGAAAGCTAGCATTAACTTGATTATGTTTGTAGCTTCTAGGCTTCTAGCTGATGCTTTGTCGCAATTGAACTTATATTTTTTGTCTGTCATTTCTGACAACAAATTAAATACCCGAAGAACATTTGCACAATGGAAGTTTTGTTGAACTAAGCCTCCAAATTATCGTTAAAAAAACTCAATTTCTTCAGGCTGTACCTCATTTGCGGAGGGAGACTAATGATTCGCTCAATGATGAAACATTTGGTTCTTCTGAGTGTACAAGTGAAGATAGAGCAGAAGAGGAAAGAAGGAGAAGAGGTAATGTCTATTTTCATCCATTTCTTCTTTTTCAACTGTACTTTTGTATTATGCCAGATGATTTTTCCGTCCACTGAACTTGTGTTAAACTTGTTCTCAGCTTCTTTTGAGTTGATGAGGAAGGAACAACAGAAAGCACTTCAAGAGAAGCAGAAATCAAGCATAGACAAACATAGAAATCATGGTGTCTCAGATATTGCGATGTTGCTGGAGGACATGAAAACAGAAAAGAGACTTTTGGACAAAAAAAATGAATTGGATGTGCTTGTGACACCTTCTGTTTCAAATAATGATTCTGGCAAGTCTTCTCTTGCTTCTCAAGTTCCCCCATCTAGACCACTTGTACCCCCGGGATTTACAAGCTCAATTCTGGAGAAGAATGCTGGTACAAAATCTTTAGTTCATCCACAGTCAAGAGAGGTAAGTTCTTCCTTTTCCTTGTGACTAGTTATGTTCTGAAATTTGATGCTCAAACTTGTCTATTGTTTAGGACTTACAAAATTGCCCATGCATGTTTTTGCTCAAGTTATTACAGTGAGTTCAAGGTGAATGTGTTTTCTTTGACACTCTCTGTCTCTGTGTGTGTGTGTGTAGCAAGCAACCAGACAAAATCCATACTCTGCCTGGTGTTTGATTTTTTTGCTGCACTCTTCTATTTGCAGACATGAATGAGTTGAGTGAAAAAAGTATTAGTGCTCTCTTATCACTTCACCTATAATCCGACTGAACTTGGCTTATGATTTCTTCTTCTTAACAAATAGTCATATTGAACTTCTAGTTAAATTTTACTGAACTCCAGTCCATTTTAGTGGATTTGTTTCATTAATTTGTCAATCAGTTGTAGAAAGAGGTATAGGCTGTTGATGCATGTAAATTAACCATTTACTTTTTTTTTTGGGGGTGGGGGGGTTCGGGGGCCCTTGACCCGCAAAACCTTTACAAGACAAGGAGTACCATTGGACCAAAGACCTATCGATGGAAATTAACCAATAGTAATGCAAACAATATATGATAAATGTGATGTGTGTAAATAACTTTTTTTATACAAGTTAGCGACATCTCATTGAATGTCTACTACTCAGTCTACATGAGGGGGTGACTTCTTGCATATCATTGATGTCGAGATTGTCATTAGACTCCAAGCAACTTACTACATCATGGTGCCTTGTTGATGGATGAAGCCCACCAGAACTAGCATAATAGTAAAAGGGAGTTACCATCAAATTGAGATGGAGGTAGTGGGCTCACTAAGTCTAATTTGAAAGGACGTTTTCTATCATGGAATATACTCATTGTTTAACTGCATTAATTGGACAAGATGGTGGCAAAAAAATGTAGCACTTGGCAAATTCAAAAACATTTTTACATTGTTGAATTCCTTCAAGAAACTTTTGATCACGTGAAGTATTCCAATTAATAAAGATTCTTGAGTGCCTTTTTCTAAAATCCCATTTTTAATATTTCTCTTGTCTTGTTCTTCTTGAATTAGTCTGTTCCTCTACGTTCTAGGTTACTTCTCTACAATCCCCATCTTGAAGCCCTTTAGGGTTTCTTTTGTGCAAAGATTACAAGAATGTCGTCTGAAGTGTAGTATGCTGCTATTCTTGCATTGATGAACTGTTTTGGTCCATCAAATTGGTCTGTTGGAGACATGTTTTATGATTAGGGAGCTAGGATAAAGGCTGGCACATTTTTCCCCTTTTCTGTAGTTTTTTTTTTTTTGGGGTGGGGGTTGATTCAGGCATGAAATTACTAAAAGTATTTTTTTTTGACATTTTAAGGATTTATCTATATTCCCAAGTGAAGATTGAATCTTTACCTTGTACAAGTTGGATTCTTTTAGTATGACCCTTAATAATCATGTAGCCAATGTCAAATAGTTGGGATTAAAGAGTTAAGTACAAGTTTAGTATTTTACAGGTAAAGGTTTGTTATGCTATTTTCCAGGTTTTTAGCATGTCTTTAGATTTTATATATATATATATTTACTTGCTTTCCTTTTTTTATTTGTTTTTATTTGTGTCCCACTGAAATTCTTCTGTTTTTTTGGGTAAATAAAATTCTTCTATTTTGATTTGAACTTTGAAGGTTTTGAACATGTTAAACTTTCGTCTAAGAAGTTTGTATCTAAAAAGTTTGTCTTTTTGATGTCACAAGGCTGGTGGTTCAACCTCCGTGATTTGATCAATCACTGTGTTCCCAGTGCCTACACCGACCTGGAATTCTGGATCTATTAATGTTAAACTAGTCTCTTTGTTGAGATAAATGTTAATCAGATCATTTTATCTGTCAGTCTGCTGACCATGTCTGAACATTGACACATAAACATGTATGTTGCATAGCAAGCTTTTGAATATGGTGGTTTTATAATAATCATCGTAGAGAAAACAAAACATCTAGGTAAATTATCAACTGGACCAAGGGAACTCAGTAACTATGTTAGAGTACCACAAGATGTGGTTTCATCACGGGCAAGCATATGCTATGCATCAAGGATTAGGCTGCTACTTTGATGTGTTGTTGGGTGGTGGACCTTTTCAATAATTTTTAAATGATTGTTTGATTGCTGAGCAGTGTGCCTTGTGTTTAATTTCTAATTTTATATGCTTGAACATAATATTGTAATTACTGATCCAAGCGTGAGTCCTTTTAACCACATTCTATTAGTTATTTTGTTTCTTTCTTAGTGACAAGTATGTTCGATTATTGCTTTTACAGGTTGGAATACCTGATATTGAGCAAAGCCTATTGCATGCCAATATTAGCCCTTTGCAAAATGGGACTCTTCATAATCAAGAGGAGAGGGAGTCAAGACATGAAATGGGGTTAAGTGAGCAGCTGCCTGAAGATAAGAGTATTCATGCACCATATCCTGACAAGGGTGAAAAGATTGAGAATACATCGCCAGGTCCAGAAGTTTCTAATGAGAAACTTGGCATGGACGAGCATCAATACAGGATCTCTAGTCTTTCAGAAGCCCATGAAGACCTTGGAAATGGCGAAATCATTGAACTTAATGCCAAGGTTACAGGGCATAAAATTGTTAGTGACTCCAATCATGGAAATTCTTCATCAATTCTAGAACAGATTTTTGGCAGTGCTTTGACAACAAAAATTGGTGGCACTTCAGATGTAATTAAGGTATTTATCGTTCTTGATGCCACTTTGTTTAAACTCTTTTTCTATACAATTCTTACTTATTGCTCTTTTAACATGCTCTATAATGGTCTGCTGATACTCTTTTTATACTTCATCCCAATGAGTGAAGATGTTGCTACTACTGTACTTAATCTGTATATATCCAGATGTAAACGTTCAAGTTTGAAAAAATGTACTTCATTTATAGGTCATCTGAGAATTTCTTTGAGTTAAAGAAACTGATGCCTTATCTTCTTTTAATTCTTCTAGCATAATGATAGTAAACTAGAGGACACTTGGAGCCCTAAAACTGTCCAGTCTTCAAAGTTTGCTCAATGGTTTTCTGAAGAAGGTATGGGCATCTAAATATTTTGCGTCTAAAAAGTTGGATGCTATTAGCATTTGGTACTTGGCTGTTATCCTATCTTGTTTAGGCTGTGGTTCTTCTTTATGTCTTTATTGCAGAAACGAAGCCAGCAGATGATCTCTCACTGGGTTGGCCAAATGACTTGCTTTCGTTGATTGTTGGTGGTGAGAAAGGTGGATTACATGTTTCTGAGGTGAAAGCTACCCAGCACATCCCATCCCAATTTTCGTACCCACGTTCTGAAGTCAGTAAGGGGCTTATGACATCTAATATACCTTCTCTCAGAACTGGGATCTCTGAGCCGCTGTATGATTGTATTAAACAAGAGGCAGTTCCTGCTGTCCTCACATGTGAAGATCTTGAACAGACTATTTTGTCACAGTTTAGTGAGAAGAGTTCAACTTTGGAACCATCTGTGCAAAGCTGGAGTGTGTCTGGAGCAAAGGCTGAACAGCCAAGAGCAAATGTTGATGATTGTGCATCTCAACACCTCCTTTCACTTTTACAGAAGGGAACAGTGCCAAATAGTATGGCACAACCTCCCCTTGTTGACACTGTATCCTCAGACAAACTTCATGTCCCAGAATTGGGTAGTACCGTCACTGCACTTGACAATCCAACAGAGGCAAATGTCAAAAATAGTCACAACATGGGAAAGACTCTTACCCTTGAAACACTTTTTGGGACTGCTTTCATGACAGAGCTAAAATCGGTTGAAGCACCAGTTTCTATCCAAAGGGGCTCAGTTGGATCAGCGAGATATGATGTTATGGAACCTCATGGGTCAACCTTCCCAGTCTTAGATGATGGTCTCTTTCCTTCTACAGTCGGTGAAATTGGATACCAGAGGACACGTTATGAAAGCAATGTTTTGGCTTCAAATCACAGACAGCAAACCAAGTTGGATAAGAGCAATAATTGGTTACGATATGATGATCCTCTAATTGAATTGGACTCATCAGAGCTTCGGAATGAAGTAGCATCTAATCATGATGGCTTTGATGGGGCAGTTGAGGTACAGCTGCCAGAGGAGGAGAGCTTGATAGCACTTGGTGATTCTGCGAACCCTCCGAATTCAATATTCATGCCTGCTGGATATTCGTCTAAAGGTGAATTAGCATCTTCAACCACACCAGTTGACATAGCAGAGAAACTGGCAGCCCTGAATGTGATGTTCAAAGATGAACGTTCATTGGTTGGTCAGGAGGGTACATCTTTTGTTCGTGGTCCTTATGACCTAATGGAGCATGAGATTCCTTACCACAATCTTCATGCTCAACCATCAACCCCACAGTTTCATCTTCCACAAACCAGTCATGGGAGGCCTTTGTTCCATCAATTGGATTCTCATCCTGCCAATGTGAGTTCCCAGATGAAGTTCATGGCTCCAGAAAGCATCATTCATCACGACACTCCACCTAGTCATCAGTTTTCCACTAATATGTTACGCCCTCCTTTCCAACATACCAACACAAGGATGCCAGGATTTGATCTTCCTTCTAGTCATCCATTATTACAGCACAGGCAAATGCCAAACAATTATCCTCCACCTCACCTCCTACATGAATTTCCCAGGGGTGCCCGTTTACCGCCTCATCCCAGCAATGGGGCAACAGGTTTCATGCAGGACCCAAACATGATGCAAAGGTTTCCTTTTGGTCACCAGCAACCCAATCTTAGTGGCATTGGAACAGCATTGCCTGGTAAAGCCTTACATATTATGTTATCTGCCTGCTTTATTCTAGTAATTCACAAGCAATAAAATCCTAACTTTGGAGATTTTTTAATCTTGTTTTGGAGGGATGGTGGGTGGGGGGTGTTTGGGAGATGGACAATAATCTGGATTGATAGTCAATAGGATTTTGCTTGTGTGGATTACAAAAGCCTGATCATGGATATATGTCTATGTTTAGACTATTGCACATGGTCTCTCCCTTGTATCAGCCTTGGTTCAAACTTAAGTAAAATCTAGATTCCCTTTCATGAGGGATTAAATTGTTTTCTAGATCTTAATCCCATATTTTGTTAGAAGCCCCCAGGTGCCTTGGTTTATTTAACTTATACTTTTTTGAATATTACATTTTTTGCCAGTAGGATACTAATGATGGTTTGGTATATCAATCTAGCTTCACTTGATTAGCCTGCGGGCGGATGCAGTCTTGTACTTTAGTGTGTTGGCCGGCCAGGTCAGTTGGAATGCTTAGTTAGGAGTGCTGATGTGAGTTTGGTTAATGTGCCATTCACAATGTGGCCCATCAATTGAGTTTGGAAAGTAGTGAGCTATTAATCAGACTGTTGTTGGGTTTTCTTTACATATTGGAATGTCTCACAAATCTAGTTGAGAGGGGGTTAGACCCTGAAATAGATTACTCAGCATGGATCATGACACAAATCTGTTTTCTAGTGGCAGATTATATCTTTACCCTGTTGTTGGGTCCTTGTTATTTGCTCATATCGAGTATAGATTCATTTACAGTTTCTATTTCTCATGTTTGTTTCAGCTCTTGAAGTTAATAGTGGAAGCAATCATCCAGAGGCCTTCCAAAGGCTCATAGAGATGGAACGCAGGGCGAATGCAAAGCAGACCTACCCTTTTCCTGTTGGTCACAATCAGGGGATGTATGGTTGCGAGCTAGACAGGGGGTTCCATTACAGATAGTCGATTGCAGTTGTGAACAAAGGGCCTGTAACATGAATTCTTACATTTTTTTTTTTTTTTTGGGGGGGGGGGGGGGTGGAGGTGATGTTCTCAGTGGGATGCTGTAATTTGTGGACTCAACATCTAGTAGGATTCTCTGGGCTTGTTTCTTCGTAAACTAGAAGCAAAAAAATAATAATAATGAAAAAAAGGAAAAAGGTTCTGTAATTGCCTTCTTGTGCCTGAGCCATGATTTTATTTTATTTCTAATTACCTTTATTTTTTTGCTCGATCTTTTGCAGCGTACCCTATGATCTTTTGACTACAGTACTTATATCTTTACTGGGGGTAACTCATCCTTTCCATTGAAGTGTGAAGTGTGAAGTGATAGATTTAAGAAAGATGAGAGAAATTTAACGAGAATAAATTTTAAAAGAAATGTTAATAATTGTTAAATAAGTCTGTTTGAGACCGTCATATGAATTTATTGAAACATGTATTATTTTATATTATAAATTATAGATTCAATGATAGGTGGCTGTGGAACATATATCTAGACTATATGTGTTTCATTCTGATCTAGTGCATGTCAAGGGTTCTTCTTCTTCACCTATAATCAGACATTAGTTGCAGACATCTCTCATGAAAAGTTAACTCTAATATAATCTTAAAAACTATCATCTAATTGGAAAAACCTCGAAAAACAAGCCTCTTATATAAACATGAGCTAAGTTCGAAGATGATTCAAACAGCACTTTTACATTGTGTTTGTCACATATACATATATACACCAAACCCGAAAATAATATTTGATGGTTCCTCAGAGGATTGCCCATAGGTACAAAATAAACAGACACATAAATACAATGTAAACACACAGATAAGTATCTTGACACCTTCAGGTGTAAGTGGCAGTCAAAACTCGAAGATTCTTCTCCAACACCCTTGCACTTATCTGTATCAAATCAGCAAGTTACAGAAAAAATTGTTAGGAAAAAAATGCTAAAACAAGAAGGTTAATTACCCCTACCTTTATCAGTCTCTACATGGATGAAATTCCATTCCCTAGTTTTCGGAATGGAGATTATTGAAAGCAATACAACTTTTGACCTTTTCAGTGTACCCATAATTTTTTTCTTACACTAAGATGATCCATAATTGATTTGCAAATAAAAAAAAAACACTCCATGATAATGATGAAAAGCGAACTCGGACAACATGCATCTAGTTACACAAGGCCTAAAGGTAGAACCCATGGCCAATCCAAACTGAGGCAAACAATTTGATGCCATCTCATGTGCAATGCATTAGTGATATATATGTACATAAATGATAAAATGTGTAGTCATAGCTGGCTTTTTTGCCAAAAAACCATAATATATATAGTTGAGAATGCTCGATTTTCACTCAAACCATGGTTTTTGCCAGCTGGAATGATGTGTCGGGATGTGTTCCCAACTCCAAATAGTTGACACAAAAACCTCAAGGAGTGGGATTAAATATTATTTATGTCGTAAAATCATCAAAAATGTGAAAGAAGTAGTGACCCAACTTGATGAGCCCTTGTTCATTCGGTTAAATTAATCTATCACATACTGTCGAGGAAACAAAATGCTGGGAATATGGAAAAGGATACTCAGATGATCCTCAAATTCAGGGCTCATCAAATTGACAGAGGTTCTTCATTAACAATACCTGAACAAAAGCCAAATAAATTTACGACTCCACGCAAATAAACTGTCTACTTGCCACAAACATATACTAAAGTATTAAAATACCATCTCAACATTTATTGGGTCCATTTTCTTCAATTTCTGAAAGTGACCACTTGCATTGGGGTCAAAGGCGCTAGCAATGAAGTTGTAGACTTGAGCAAAATATAGCATAACTGAATAAAACAGAAACTAAGTTAATCACGTGCTAGAAAAATAGCAATGATGATATCTATATCTATAATATAAAATAGGACACACTTCAATAAGCCCATCCGATGGTCTCAAATGGACTCATCCAGCGGCCTCCAATATCTCTCAAAATCATTCATATTAAATTCCCCCTCCCCCCTCCCAACAAATCCATTACTTCTCCCTTACGTTGTACCGTGACTTCAGGCACGAGTTACCCCTAATTCACCATAAACCAAGCCTAATAGAGTATGTATACCAATTGAAACATATTTGAAAACCAAAATTATCGAGAGGGTAAAGAAGGAGGCAAAGTAGTTACATAAATGGTTGTTTAATTATGAAAAATTAACGATTAATCAATAATTATATAGATATTATGAATTGCTAAAAAAATGCCCACTTCAAATTATATGGAATCAAGCCTTTCATAAAACTCCCGATAAAAAATAGACTGACATGACTTATATTTGTTCATGGCATTGAAGACTATAAAAAGTTATGTTACACCCTACCTAATATTAGGTAGTATGAATTATTTATTACTGTAATAAGTATACTCCTATTGGGTATATTAGTCTTTCCTAGTTCATCATGATAACTACATATATGAACTGGAATGCATATAGGTGGTGGCTCAATTTTCTACGTACCATGCATGCGGTGCCGTTTTCTTGATGGAAAAGAATCCATTTGATTTGTGGAAATGGGTTTTCGCTGGAGACACGGTCGGACATGTGTCTGACACCTGTAGAAGTGTCCTGTACAGTAGATTTGAATTTTTTTAGTCGGATAACGCTTGGATACGTGGGGGATAAGGGAGGACACAGGAGGGACACGGCGAGGTACTTTTTTTATTTTAAAAACTTAGGGGGCTAAAACGAAAAAAAAAGCCAAAGCTACCTCTATTGGCTTGAAAAAGAAAAAACAAAAGGCAAAAAAGTCAAAGTCAAAGTCAAAGTCAAAGTCAAAGCTTCAACACTTCACAGAGAGAGAGAAGAGGAGAACGAGCTCGAGAGGACTAGGGGAGGAGAAGAAGGAGAGGGAAGAGGAAGACTAACTTGTGACTGCGACCTGGATATGGATTTGCGATTGCTGCCCAGTCTCGTGCAGGTTCCTCTTATTGCTTCAATTTTTTTTTAAGATCTGCTACTGTTACTCTTAGTTCTTCTTGTCTGTGTAGACTTTCAAAAAATTTGATTCGATCAATTTGATTGGGTTAGGGTTTTTGGATTTTCAAAATTTTGGGGATTTTTTGTTGTTGTTATTGTGCTGTTGTTTTTCTCAGTCTTCTTGCTGTGTTGCTGCCTTTGGAGTTTTTGTTTTGGTCTGGTGTTGTGTTGTTGCCTTCGGGATTTTTTTTGGTCTTGGTCATCTGCGCTGCTACCTACTGATTTTGAATACCGAAAATTACTTTCCTAGTTAGCTTCTGTCTTCTCTTTTTTGTTGTGCTGCTATGTTTTTTTTGGTCATCTGTGCTAGTGTGTTGCTGCCTGCTGGTATTGAATATCAAAAATTATTTTCCTTGCTAGCTTCTGTCTTCTTTTTTTGTTGTGCTGCTATGTTTTTTTTTTGGTCATCTGTGCTGTTGCCTTCTAAAAATTGTTTTGCTGTTGCCTGTTATTTAGGATTTAGGAAAATGAGTTCTCTTGTCGGTGCTAGTGGAGATGGCAGTGATGATCACACCCTTTTATGGAAATATGTCACAAAAATAGATAAAATTAGTGTAAGGGAGGAAATGTTCAATTTCAATGCAATTTTTGTCAACTGAGTTTTAAAGGATCATATTATAGGATTAAGGCACATTTGTTAAAACTCAGCGGTCATGGAGTTCAAGTATGCCGCAAAGTGACTCCGCAATTATTAATTGAAATGTAAAGGTTAGTTGATGAAGCTAACGTGAGAGTGAAAAGAAGTTTGCCCAAACAAGTCCCTTTACCACCATCTTCAACATCAAGCAAACTTACTTCCTCGAGTGCAAGTGTTAGTAGTGCTATGGGATTTGAGTCATTAATGCAAGGGACTGGTTTAGATCTTAAAAAAAAGAAGGCAAATTCTGCTATTGAGAAAGCCTTTAATATTGGAGCTCAAGAAGAGCTACATAGTGAGATTGGAAGAATGTTTTACTCAGCTGGTCTACAATTCCACCTTGCAAGGAATCCACATTATTGTCACTCCTATACTTTTGCAGCTACTCATATGATTAGTGGTTATATCACTCCTGGTTATAATATGTTGAGGACTTCATTTCTTTAAAAAGAGAGAACAAACATTGAAGTTGTTAGAGCCAACGAAGCAATCATGGAAAGAAAAAGGTGTATGTACTGTTTTTGATGGTTGCACAGATGCTCAAAGGAGGTCAATCATAAATTTCATGACAGTGTGTTAAAGTGGGTCTATGTTATTGAAAGCAGTTAATTGTGAAGGTGAATATAAGGACTAATATTTCATGTCCAACTTGCTTTTGGAGATTATTCATACAATTGGACATAAAAATGTGATCCAAGTAATCACTGATAATGCACCCGTTTGTAGGAGTACGGGAGTGCTTGTTTAGGGTCGTTATAAACACATCTTTTGGACCCCTTGTGTGGTGCACACTTAATCTTATTTTGAAAAATATTTGTGCACCAAAAAACATCAAAGCCAATGGACGTGTTTATGAAGAATGTAATTGGATCTCAATTATTGATGGGGATTGTCTGGGCATTAAAAATTTTATTATGAACCACAACATGAGATTGGACATGTTTAATGATCAAGTGAATTTGAAGATGCTCTCAATTGCGGAGACACGTTTTGTTTCAACCATTGTGATGTTTAAAAGATTTAAAGTTCTAAAACATGGTCTCCAATACATGGTTATTATTAGTAATCGGTGGTATTCTTATAGAAAGGATGATGTTGAAAGAACGGCCTTTGTGAAGGAGAAAATATTAGATGATTTGTGGTAGGATAAAATTGATCATACACTTTCCTTTATTGAACCCATTATGAGATGCTAAGGAAGACCGATACAGATATGCCTTGCCTACACTTAGTTTATGATATGTGAAATTATATGATTGAGCAAGTGAAGGTTATTATCTTTCGTCATGATGGGAAGCAGGAAGATAAGGAATCAATCTTTTATTTGGTGGTTTATGAAATATTAATGGATAGATAGGGCAAGAGCAAC